GTCGATGTGGAAATTCAGTCTGCAACAAAATTAGACAATTCAAGTTTACAGCATATCCAAATTGTTGGCATCAGGTTTTAAGTAGTTAAGGTTATACCTGTACGATTTATTTTTTGAACCAATACCAATATAATAAAAAAATTTCGTAATGCCATATCCATATCCAGCTAATAATAATTGCGAGCACATGCAGAACCCCAACGCAGCTGTTTATAGAATCTTGTGTATCTTAAATTAAGAAGAATAGTTTTTGGTTTGTTTGCATATGTAGAACGTAATAATAAGTATAATAACAGCACTTAAAGTTTTGTAAAAAAAAAAAAAAAAAAAAATGAATTTAACACATATATTAGTTTCGCCAATTTTTTTAGAAACACATTCTGAAATTTGTTCATTAATGGAAGATTTTAGCCAACTTGAAATCTTTTACCAACCCGAGAATGATTATGAAATCAAAATGAAAGAAGTACTTGAAACAAATGATCTTTATTCTGAAAACATATACGATCTAGAAAATGAAAAAATAACATATTTTGATAATCCAGTTCTTACACCTTCACAAATTAAAAAATTTCAAAAAATATTTTCTCAAAATACTATTGAAGAAAATAACGAAAAACAAGAAGTTAATGAAAAATTAACTATTATCCTAGATCAGCAAGAAAAAGAAGCATTTATTCATAAACTTCGTACAACAGTTTGTTGTAAAACTAAAACATGTTTAGCCAAAATCAATCATGAATCTGCATTTAATATTTTTGATAATGTTCAAAAATTATCAAAAGTTAAATACAATATGCTTTTATTAGGAATGCTTTATGCAATGACTCGTCCTAAAGAAACTTTATGGAGTAAAGAAAAACAATACCTAACCGTTAAATATACTTTTGATGGAAAAGAAATTTGTGAAAAAGGATTTCAAATTATATATTCATTATCAAATAAAAAATGAGAAAATATTCGTCAACATTATCGTATAAGTAGTATTAAACCTATTAAACATGCCCTTTCAGGAAGAAAATCTCATAATGCTTTGTCATTTGCAACTATTTTAAATGTTCTTACATTTATCGTTAACTTTGCAAACTATCATAGATTGCCGTCACCAGGTAAAATTATTATTTTAAAATATTATTTTACTAATGATTGATTATGGGTTTCCGCTATTATTTTTTGAGTACAACGTAATTCAAAGACAATAGAGAAATAGTTTCTAGCTTCGATTAATAAGATGGGAGAATAATATATTTATTTCCCAATAAGGGTGCTCCCAAGCATATAAATTATAGATCGGATCTCAATTTTTAATTAGTAAAAAAATAGTTCAGCCAGTCAAGTAAGTCTATCATCGCAATGAAAAAAAATGGTCAAGACCATCTTTTTTATCACAGAGTTGTACTGGTTGACTAAAATTTAATATCCGCATTTCGCACCATAAATCTTTAGCAAAATTGCTATAAAGATTACTTCAATTAAGTATGTTGCTTTTACGATCTTGATCATTAGCAAGTTTCATTAAGAAATATGCTTGAGGCACCCTAATAACTATATATTTCCCTAGGTTTTTTTGGCACTGATAAGAGCAGAAAAAATCTTCTATAAAGTTAGAATAAATAATATATATTAATAAAATTACTTT